CGAGGTACTTGTTAAGGCCATAAAGCACCTTCTTGAGTTTGCAAACAAATCTAGGAGAGTGAGAAAGGCCAGGAGGAGGAACCATGTAGACCTCCTCTTGAAGATTTCCATTTAAAAATGTGTTTTTGACGTCCAATTGAGAGACACTCCATTGACGAACAGATGCAACTGCAATAAGTATACGAACAGTGGTCATCTTGACAACAGGAGCAAAAGTCTCCTCATAATCCAAACCACATTGTTAATTAAATCCTTTAGCAACCAATCTAGCCTTGTAGCGTTCAATTGAACCATTAGATTTGGTTTTAATCTTATAAACCCAACGACAACCGATAGCATGTTTACCTGAAGGCAATTCAAACAAGTCCAAGTGTTTGTCTTATGCAGAGCAGAAAGTTCATCAGCTATAGCTTGTTGTGAAAGAGGATCCAAAATAACTTCTTTATAGGAAGATAGTTTAACTAACTTATGAATGGATGTTAGAAAACAACAAAAGGACTCAGAACAACAAGAATAATCAAAATCAGGTAATTGAGTGGACTTACGAATACGTTGAGGATAACGAGGAAGAGATGAAGCAGGAGTTGGATCAACAATCTAGAGTTGGGGAAGTTATAGAAGGGGGAGGGGTAGCATGATCTGAAGCATGTGTACCTGTAGGACATGAAGAATCAATAGTACATGGGGTATGAGAAGGTGAATTGTTTATATCATCAGAGAATGGATCAATATAAATGAGATCAGTTTTAGTCACGTTATGAGTATTATCAGAAATGAAGAAGAATGGAATACACCACATGATGAGAAACATATAATTTATTATTAATGGGATCGAAACAACGATAGCCCTTTTGCCCTTACCCATAACCCAAGAAAACACAAATTGCAGAGCGAGATGTCAACTTATTACGTTCAACTTCAGGATAAAGAACAAAACAAGTACAACCAAAGACTCTCAACGAGGAGTAATCTGGAGGATGCCCATGCAATGTTTCAAAGGGTGATAAATCTGAATTGTGGAAAGATAGAATCTTATTAGTTAAAGAAACAGCAGTAAGAACTGCTTCTCCCCAAAACTCATTGGGAACTTTGGCAGATAAAAAAAGTGAACGAGCAGTTTCCACAATGTGCCTATACTTTCATTCAATAATACCATTTTGTTGTGGGGTATTAGTACAAGAGGTTTGATGAATTGTGTCGTCAAGAGCAATCAATTTAGAGAATTCGGATGAAGTATATACTCCACCAAGTCACATCTAAAGCACTTAATTACAGTTGAATGTTGAGTTTTAATAAGTGTTCTAAATGATAGATAAATAGAAAGAAAGTCAGATCGTCGCTTCATAAGATAAACCCAACAATAATGATTGTAATCATCAATAAAGGACACATAATATCGAGACCCTCCTTTTGTAGCAACAGGAGCAGGTCCCCACACATCAGAGTGAACAAGATCAAATGGTGCAATAGAATGAGAAATACTTCGAGGAAAAGGTAAAGCAGAAAATTTTGCTAATTTGCAACCACTACAAGAAAAAATATCACGAGTTTGTATATTTTTCAATTGACAATTAGAAACTAAAAATTTTAAACGACTAGCAGAAGCATGTCCAAGACGAGAATGCCACAAATAAAAACTAGAAGACGATGAATTCAAAGAAAAAGATAACAAATCAACACCAGAGGCTGCAACGTGTGGTCTTAGATTGTCCAGAACATATAACCCTTCTTGTCTACGGCCTATCCCAATCAGCTTCTGAGATTGAGGATCTTGCACATGACAACCAGTAGAAGAAATCTGAACCAAGTATCCAGAATCACACAATTGACCAATATAGATAAGATTCAAAGTAAGAGCTGGAACACAATAAACATCTGACAGTGACATATTATGTGTATTAGTTGAACTAACACCTACTAAAGCTAATGGTGTACCATAAGCAGTCATAACAGATATAGACGGGTTGGAAAGACGCATGTCATTAAAGAATTTTGAATTAGACGACATATGTTTGTAAGCACTTGAGTCAAAGATCCATAAGGAAGAAATACATGAGTGACTTTGTGATGACAAACCTATATGAGTGGAGGCTGACATAGCATGTGATTTTGTGGCTAAGAATTTCTGAAACTGCTCTGCTAAGTCTATCAACATTGGATTGGATGAAGGTGGTGCTCCAAGTATGGATGAATCATTAGGTGGTATGGTGGCAACTATGTTAGCATTGGGACGATAAGATCGCTGCTGTGATTGAGGTTGCTGCTTCTTCAATAGCTTTGGACATTGAGACTTCCAATGTCCTTTTTGTTTACAAAAGTTACACTCATCAGTAGCAACTCACACATAACCTTTATTCTGGTTCTGTGTAGACAGTCGAGAAGGTACAGCCAACACTGAGGTGCTAGAAGGAGGAAGAGATACTTCTTCCGCAAGAGATTTCAAACGTGTTTCCTCAGCTATAAGTTCACTAACCACCGAATCAATTGAAGGAAGTGGAGTGCGATGCAAAATAAAGCCTCTGAGTCCCTCAAAATCACTGCGAAGTGCTATAAAAAACTAAACTAATCGCTGCTCCTCTCTAGAAGTAATATATCTCTCACATGCTTTCAGTCTTACTAATTCCATAAGAGCCAGCTCATTTCAGATGGAGTTCATAGCAGTGTAGAACTCAAGAATACTCATATCTTTCTGATGTAAAGCCCATGTATCAATTTCCAACTAATACCGTTTTGCAAAGTTAGATTTAGTGTATAACGTTTGAAAATGCTCCCAAACTTCTTTTGCTGTTTTAAACTTCACCGATTGTGTGGATTACACAACGGAGTTGTGAATCCAAGTGAGAATTTTCGCATTGTTTGACTCCCAATTATTTAACTCTGTTACATAATTTTGAGCAGTGTTCTCGAGTTTTACAATAGTTCCGCTAACATAGCCCCATAATCTTTTTCCCTTTAAAATATTTCTCATCACTGTACTCCAATACGAGTAATTTTTACCATTTTGTCTGATACTAATGGATTGAAGTGAATCAACTCTTTCGGTTGCTATCATAAGGTCAATAAATGATCAACTATGAAACAATGAAATTACCCAAATTTTAAGGAAACCAATGATAACCAACGTACTACCACAAACTATAATTGAAATATACTGCACAGTATACGTAAAACCAAAGTAATACCACCAAAAGATCATAAAATTACCAAGGAACAAATTGCCTTTTGGAATCACCTCGAAAAAATGACTCACGCGCCTCCATCGTCACTGCGCGTGATCCTTACGCGCCACCTCCACGCGCCTCCTAACTCCGACACGAGCCTAACCGAAAGTTTAGTCTCAACTTGCTGAACAAGGATCTGGTCTCAGTTTCCTCAATGGGTCTCTAGTTTGGTCGAAATCTTGATTTTAAGTTGCGGTCGAATAGGTTTTTTGCACAAACTTTCTTTGCCTGATTTCTGTCTTGATTTCAGCACGCTCCAATAAAAAATTCCACAAATTTCACTCAATTATAGGCTCTGATACCATGATAACAATATAATCCATCTTAAACCAATGTGTTGAATCAATCAAAAAGAAGAGAAGAGAAGAAGAATAATAAAGAGAGAAAACCAAAATCTATTGAGCAATGAGAATTAGGGTTTACAATGAAAGTAAATATGGTTTTTATACTACTACAAGGAAACCTAAAAATAATAGGAAACTTAAAAAATGAAATTACATATTATGCTAAAAGAAATACATATAACACATTTTCGTAAACGACACCGCCCTATTTGCAACTGAAAGGGAATATAGAAGAATCCACTTCATTTAATTATAATTCCTTTCATGATTCATGCCTTCATCGAGCTTTGATTTGGGTCAATCGACCAACCTATCTAATGGCACATATGCAATTCTATTCAAGTTTTGGTTCACTACGATGGTTTTATCTAGATCACTTGTCAACTTCACAACTTTTTTTAGCTTTTACAAATTGCCATTAAAAGTTTTAGTTACGACGACGGTACTAAGTATAGCCATTACAAATTGCCAAAATGAAAAGTGTGGACATAAGTGCAAAGATATGACTTTTAGTGCAACAAAATAAATTTCAAGCTATTCCAAACCTATTCTAAAATCTAAGCCAACAAAATGTGTGTGTTTTCTCTTGTTTGTCGGTTGGTTCAGCCTGTGACTTTTAAGCCTGGCCCTAGTTTTATTTTAGCAGAGAAATTTATGATTTATTTTAAATTTTAATAGTATGATTAGGACACGATTATTAGCAATTAATACTCCAATTCAAGTCAATTGATCAAAGTCAAGTCCAAATAAGGTTCAATTGAGGAAAACTGAACACATTAATTTACAAATATATACAAGTATACAATGTGCGAAAAGAGTGTATTTGTAAGAAAATAATAAGCGAAAATCAAATGGTTAAAAACCTTCTGAAGAAAAAGTTTTGATGACATTAAAATTCACGAACTTTCTAAAGGATACCGAAGTTTTAACTTTTGGGCAGAGGATATATGCATATTACTTTGTGAGTTTGCCAAAACTTGTAATATTGTTTGAATATTTATTTGACTCGCATCAAAATTATATGTTTTTTCATAATTAGAATTTTTTATTTTTTATTTTTTCCAGATACCATGTCGAGAAAAGTCGCAGTCATCGAGATGAGAAACAGAGATCACGTCCCAAGCGAGTCAAGATTTGCTGTCTCATTTTACTGTCCATCAAATTAATTCTTGGCATGTCATCAATAATTAATATGTTATCTCATATTTATTCTCATTAACTTCACCACTAATCTACTAAATTAATGATGTGTCAAGAATTAATTAGGTGGACAGCAAAATTGGACAGCAGATGTTGACTAGTCCCAAGGTGGTTCAAGTTTGATCGAAATTTTACTAAGACACAATTGCTAAAGACCCAGAGCACAAAATTACGGAAGCTAACGTCTCCTGCAGTGACTAAATATCTTGATAATCAACTTCTATTTCTCCAGAAATTAAGTTCAGAAATTGACAATTGAAGTATAAATCTGTCCAGGTTTCCATCCGTCAGGTATTACATTGTCCGCCACAAGACTCTTCCCAGAATCCTCAGTTAACTTAATGGAGAATGGGGCTTTCAATGGATTTTCTGAATTGAGTTTCCACACTTCACCCCAAGATTGTTGCATTGGGAGATACGAATTTGAGTCCAATGCTTTGAGCTCAACTCCTGCAAGCTCACCATCCCCATTTACATATTCAATCACAGTAGCAAAATAGTAGTCACTGGAACCCGTGTCGACTAGAAAAGTTAGTAATACTCCAGGATAATTGCAATCCACTCTGAAAATTAATTCGAGACATAAATTCATTTGCAAACAAGATCGTTATCGTAGGTTTGATGAACAAGAAATTTAGTAAACGTACCTTCTATATTGTATGTCGAGTCGTCCAGCGTTCCTGAGTTGATCAGCTTTGCCAGGAAGTGCCATGGCTCCAAAGGAAGTGCCACTTAAATCAAACAGAACTGGTTCTGGGTCACAACCAGGACACTCATCTGTTATAACTACAGTAACCGGATTCCCAGAGCACGCAATATTTTCTTTACATTTTACCTAAATTAACAGTTCAAAACAGTATTACATACAAGTATCGGCTTCAAATTTATAATCTGCATGCATGATATATGTGCATTCATGGACCTGATAACAAGCTCCACAGCTCCTTCCTGCTTTGAATAGAGAAGCAGCAGCAGCAGTTGTTAAGGAAGAAAAAGGTGGTTTCCCCACAGCATCTCCATATCCACAAGCCCCTCCTTAACACGCACAAGAAAAAAGAAGGGAAAAAAATCAATTTAAATAATAAATTTTCAACGTGCATGGTGAATTGAATAATTATTTTGTGTTACTTTTTCTATTTTAAGTTTTTTATTTTTGTGAGTGACCAGGAGTCCAGGAGGTTGTGTAACTGTATCTTACCATCGCTTCCTGCACCACTGGGGCTTCCATACCAGCTGACTTGGGCTGGTGACCAGTCAGAATCAGATTGAAGTTTTGACACATTAAGTGCAAGAAGCTTGGAGTTGAAGTAAGAGCAAAAGTTTGATAGAAGAGAAAATAGAGCTAAATATTTCAAAAAAGATTTGCGCAAAACTAAAACCATGATGTTCAGTCAGTTTTTTCTGCAGTTTAGCTTTGGTTATTTGAAGCCTGGAGGAATTAACCGTGCAAAACCTTATTTAAGCAAATCAGTCTCACTTTTCACATGGACAGTCTAATCTCCTCGAGGCAAGTTGGAAATAAAATGAATGTTGAAGGAAATTTTCTGTATATTGCATAGCTTCAACTAGATGATTATTTATATGAGATATGTTTAGTGTACAGCATTTATATGAGATCTGCTTAGTGTACAACACTTTTATTGTGAGGGGGCCACAAATTTAATATTCATGTGGGCCCTCTCAAAATGTGAGGGGACTGTACAGCATGGTGTACAAATAGTTTTTCCCTTATTTATTTAGATTATAGAGTATATGTAGAATATTCTAGAGTGATACAGCCGTAGTTAAATCCTTGTATCACGGAAGATGTTGGGAATCTATTTACAACAGAAATTTGTGGGTGTAACATAAATGTGACAACCAGGATGAGTAGCTGATGATTGTGTGAATAGCTGGATATTGATGTGTTTGTTAATTCTTAACGAGGCAGACCATATTAAGGTTAAATGGCTGTCAGCTAAACTATTCCAGATTCTGGAAAATAGACAGAGAGAGGCTTTCAAGAATCAGGTAATTTTATACAAAAACAGGAGCTATTTCTTGCAACAAAGAATCTATCCATGCATGGGCATTGGCAATGCTTCCATTTTTTGTACTTCTAAGCCAATATCTCAATTTCGTGCATCCAAAGTCCATCCATTACTAAAAAGGAGAGATTTCGTCTTAAAATTCATGGTTGATAAATCATGTGTTGCAAGTATTTCAAATAAACGCAACCTAACAGCTTAAAATTTTTAAATTTAACATGGCATTGGACTACGAGAAATTGCCCAGATTTTGAACTTGTGACTACTAATTGCAAATTAAGGACGTATCAAATCTTTTAATAAAAAATGAATCATGTCAATGTGTGAGAGGGGTGTAATATTTTAATAAATAATGTTACGTATTTGCACACTTGGACAACTCACCAGGGCCCACAGCTAACTTATGCCGAATCACGTGACACTTAAACCGAGGTGATTTGCATAGCCGATGCCCACAAATTGAGGTACACGAAGCCTCGGCCCATATATACCGAGGCCCATCTATTATTGCTTCTTGAGGAGCTTTCGAAGCCCATATGCCGAGGCCCTTTGAATGTGCATGAGACCCTGTTGGCCGAAGCTCTGTAGTCGAGGTAGCAGCCTCTGAATCATAAAGCAGCATCTTCCATAGACACTTCTCCCAAGAGATCCTCTGCATAAAGATCTTACTAGAATGATTGATAGGACATTTGTCATAAGTGTAAATGTTAAGTCTTGTCACTAGTAGAGGTGGCCCTGCCAATCAATAAATGTATAGCAGGCTAGGTGCGGCTGATGCCTACAATTTGACATGTAAATTAATCGGATGAGGCCACGTGTACCCCGAACTAAAGGTCACGATCTAACTTGTGACACTACAAATACTCCCCCATGTACCACACACAAAAGCTAATGCAAGAATGAATACAAGAAATCACACTTTACTCTCTCTTTCTTATTATCTTGCAACACAATACGAATTTACGCATATTTATATACACATTTGCAAACATCGATTGGTAATTATTGTACAATCGGTCTACGATCATCTCGTCGGATTCCGAACATTATCGTCCCGCGTCGTTGAGCTACTCCCACGCCCTTGATCTATCCTTTTTAAACCTTCCACGTGTCTTTGCGTGTTGAACTTTCGCTTACGTGTGTGCGGGTGGGTCCGGTATCTGTTGGCAACATTTATTGGGGTCCACAAATTGGCGCCGCCTGTGGAAAATCATACCATAACCACGAACAACCATGTGGTGAAAACTTATTAAAGAGGAGCATTTGGGCATTCCCCTTGAAAAATGATTTGTTCTTGAAAAAGAACAAGAGGAAGCCCCACGACTTAGCAAAATCTGAAGGGTGAGACGCAAAGAAGATGAGTTCAAACGAAGATACACCCCCCAGGAGGGTAAGAGAAAATGCTGATGTGCCCCCTCCAGTAGCTGCCCCAACAGCTCGGTATAGACCCCACCACAACCATAGAAGAGGTGGAATGCGTGCGACGGCCCGACTGTCAAGAGAAATGACCACCATGGCAGCTAATATGAGAGACATTGCTAGCCAAAACATGGCTATGAGGGAACTCATGGCCCAAATGCATGGTCAGGGAGGCTTTCCTATTCCTCCATACACCCCTCAAGGGCACTACCAGCAAGAAGATGAAGTTCAAAGCCGTAGGGCTACCTCGTCGGATTATAGTCGAGGTAGAAGCCCACTTGAAAGGGAAGTAGAAGTTGATGTTCCCTCCAACTACGCTTCTGGCCGACCCATCGAGGTCCCTTTGAACCATGATAACTTCCAACCTTAGTATGAGCAAGAGCAAAGACATAGGAGGTCAGGCAGTGTATTTGACAGAATTAGCCCCGCTGAACCGAGGTTCAGACAACAACAACATCACGATCCTTGGACAAGGCCACCGCCTCCACCTCCAATGCCTCAACAGCCAGAAGAAAAGCATGAAAATGCCCTCCATGCTGCTTTGCTTAGAAATAGGCGCCAAAGGAGGGAGGAAGAGGCTAGGAACCGTCCCGGAACCTCTCACCAACAACCAAGGTATGAGGCCGATGAAAACGATTCAGATGAGCAACAAAGCTCCTGTGACTCGGACGATGACGATGAAAACCTCCCATTCTCAAGGGAACTAAGGAGCGCCCAGGTCCCAAACTACTATGTTATGCCAAAGATACCAAAGTATGACGGAAGAGGCGACCCAGAGAAGCACCTGAATGCTTACAAAACTCACATGAGCCTGAGGGACGCCACCCTCGACTGTGAAATGCAGAGTTTTCCACTTAACACTTAGCGAAGCAGCTGAAATTTGGTATAGTAGATTACCACCTAGGGGCATAAGAAGTTGGCCTGAATTCAAGACGACCTTCTTGAAGAGGTTCACTGTAAGCAAAGAGGGAGAGGCCCCCATCCAACGTCTCCAAGACATGAGACAGGCACATGGGGAGTCTCTAAAGAGCTTCCTATCACACTTCACCGATGAGATGACATATTGTGTGCAAGTCACCGACCGTGAGGCATTATCTGCATTGAGAGGAGGTCTGAACATGAACACCCTGTTGTGGAGGGACGTACAAAATCAAGACCAAACCACCTATGATGCCCTACTCGAGATGATGAGACGGGAGATCATCAATAAAGAATTGATTGAGCATAGGAACAGGAAAAGTATAGGCCTTCCACCTCCTTAAAGGCAGCGTACTAGAGGGCCGACCTCCCACTTGATGGACTACCAAATGAACCAAGCTGGTAATGGGAGTTTTGAACAAGCACTTGCCACCACCACTCTTAATGTCGTTCCTACATTGGCATATGAGGATATCACAGTCGCTGACACCCAGCAGATGAAAACTCCACAAGGATCCCGTAGGGAGAGAGGCCAAGGCCGGGGTTCAAGACCTAGAAATAGGTCAAATCAGAACCCACCTGGATACTGTGCATACCAATGGTCTTATGGACATGACATAACAAATTCTCGAGACTATGCTCACCGCTCCCGGCAGGAACCCCCTAGGGACAGAAATGAATCGCCCCAAGCGAACAGGCCCCCACCTAGGTACGATAATCGACCTGGGCGTGAAGAGGTTGCTCCTCGTCAAAGGGATATTTCTCTGCGACGAAGGGAGCGTGATACAGAGAGGCCCAGGGAAGGACATAGACACCGAAGAAATCGACAAGCTCAGGATGAGGTCCCTATCCACGAGGTGAAATGCGAAACGTCAAAAGGAATTATGCTCGGGAGGCAAAACGCCTTCCTCTGACAAGCTACATTGTGGATAACAGCTCCCGGAGAAATCAAGTTCTATCTATTCTTTTCACCCAGGAGTACGCCGCAGGAGTTCACTATCCTCACTGCGATGCATTTGTGATAAGAGCGGTCATAGCCCGGAATGGGCTCAAACGAATGTTAGTTGACAATGGTAGCTTCGTCAACATTCTATTCGATCCACCTTCGACAAGATGATGCTGGACCATGAGTTAACATCCACCACCACTCATTTGTATGGATTTACCGGAGATAACATCACTCCGAGAGGAAAAATCACACTCGCAGTAGAGATGGGGGAGTCTCCCCAAACCACAATGAACTTCATGAAATTACTTGTTGTCGACAATCGATCGGCCTACCATGGAGTATTGGGTAGGCCAGCCCTAAAGGAATTAGGAGCCATCACCTCCATCCACCACCTATGCAAGAAATTCCCGATGGAAAATGGGGTGGCAACGGTGAGAAGTGACCAAAGAGGTTCAAGAGAGTGTTATCTAAACTCCATCAGAAAGGCCGAGCCCCAAGACATCCATGTAATTATTGTCGACAAAGTCATGATTGATGTCCCAGGTGATGCTCCCGTTGACCCGAAAGATGTCGAAATGATTGACGCCCCACCCAAGCCGGAATTATTGGTCATCGATGAGATTGATCCCCTCATAATTGAACATGAACCTCAAGCATCCCCAGTTGAGGAACTTGAGAGCTTCTCGGTGGACCCCCGAGACCCATCCAAATCGTTGAAGGTCAGTAAGGGCTTGTCCAACACTTCGAAAGAAAAGCTGAAAGATTTCCTAAGTAGGAATCTCGATATCTTTGCTTGGAGGCATGAGGGCTTGGTAGGTATAGACCCCAAGGTCAGTTGCCACCACCTGAAAATTGATCCTAAAATTGCCTCGCATAGACAGAAAGGGAGAGCCCTTAATCCTGAGAGGTACGAGACCCTGAAGGAAGAAGTTCGGAAGCTCATCAAAAATGGTTTCATCAGGGAGGCCACCTATCCGATGTGGGTCTCCAATCTAGTTTTAGTGAAGAAACACAGCGGCAAGTGGAAGGTGTGCATCGATTTCACTAACCTTAACAGAGCTTGCCCGAAGGACAGCTTTCCACTTCCAAGTATTGACCAACTGGTAGACTCCATAGCTGGGCATGAGTTATTGAGCTTCATGGACGTTTACTCCGGCTACAACCAAATTCCCATGCACCCAGCCGATGAGGAACACACATCTTTCATTATAGACCGAGGCCTTTACTTCGACAAGATGATGCCCTTCAGGTTGAAAAACGTCGGAGCAACATATCAAAGGCTCATCAACAAAATGTTTGTGGACCTCATCGGCAAGACAATGGAGGTCTACGTAGATGACATGCTGGTAAAGAGTTTGAAAGCTGGAGACCATTTAACGCACCTCAACAGCACCTTCCAAATCTTGAGAAGATATAGGATGAAGCTCAACCCCCTCAAGTGCGCCTTCGAAGTGGCCTCCACTAAATTCATAGGATACATGGTCAACCAATGAGGGATCGAAGCCAACCCTGAGAAGATTGAGACCCTATGCAAGATGAGGTCCCCCCAAAAGTCAAAGGAGGTGCAAAGCTTGACTGGACGAGTGGCCGCACTCAGCCGCTTCGTCTCCAAAGCTACAGACAAATGCCTCCCATTTCTCAAAGTGCGAAAAGCTAGGAAGAAGTTCCAATGGAATGAGGAATGTGAAGAGGCCTTCCAGCGCATAAAAAGGCACCTAGGGCAGGTCCCCCTCCTCTCCAAATCGAAGCCCGGTGAAATTGTACGGCTGTATCTGGCCGTCTCCAATGAGGCCATCAGTGCGGTTCTAACCCGAGAAGAGGGGACCACCCAACTCCCTGTTTACTATACAAGTAAAGCACTCCTATCGTCGAAAATCCGCTACCCCGATATGGAGAAGCTCACTTTGGCCTTGATCACGACCTCCAGGAAGTTGAGACCCTACTTCCAAACCCACATCATCCATGTGCTGACAAACTTTCCCCTAAGGCAAGTACTCCAAAAGCCCGATGCCTCAGGAAGATTATTGAGATGGGTGGTGAAGTTAAGTGAATTTGACCTCAAATTCAAGGCTAAAGCAGCCATCAAGGGACAAGCCTTGGCTGACTTTGTGGCAGAATTCGCCAACTTACCCGAAGTAGATGAAATCATGGAACAAGCAGAGCCCCATACGTGGAACTTATTCTTTGATGGGTCGGCTGGGGATGTCGGCTCAGGTGCCAGAGTTGTCCTCATCAGCCCAGAAGGTCACAAGCTAAACTCGGCTGTGAGGTTCGGGTTCAAAACCACCAACAATGTAGCAAAATACGAGACATTTCTTGCAAGCCTCAGGTTAGCCAGAGGAATGCAAGTAAAGAGGCTACTCATTAGTAGTGACTCCCAGCTGATCGTTAGCCAGGTCAATGGTAACTTCTCAGCCATGGACAAAACAACGGCCTCTTACTTGAAAATGGTGATGAACCTCATCCCATCCTTTGAAAAATTTGAGTTGATCCAGATCCCCGCATCGAAAATGCACATGAGGATGCACTCTCCAAACTTGCAAGTACAAGGATTCCGAACTACTCACAGTGGTCCCTATAGACCACCTCCTCATGCCGTCAATCGAGGCCCCCAATGTGATGTGGGTCGCTGAGACTCCTACCTGGATGCAGCCCATCGTGACATACCTCAACGACCAAGTACTTCCCACCAACAAGCATGAGGCTTACAAGCTAAGGAAGAGGTCAGCCCATTTCCTCTTCATTAATGATGTACTCTATAAGAGGAGCTTCTACTCTCCAATCTTACAATGCGTCGGAGGAGAAGAGGCTACTCACATATTAAGAGAAGTCCACGAGGGTGTGTACGACAACCACTCTGGAGGTCTATCTTTGGCACAAAAATACTGAGGCACGGGTACTACTGGCCTACCTTGAAAAGGGACGCCCTCGAGTTTGTACAAAAATGTGACAAATGCCAACGATTCTCTCCAGTCTAAAGACAACCATCATAAGATTTAACCGCGGTTTCCAGCCCTTGGCCTTTCTCGAAGTGGTGTGTGGATTTCATAGGTCCTCTACCAAAAGGTAGAGGAGGAGCGAGCTTCGCAATTGTGGCCATTGATTACTTCACGAAGTGGGTTAAAGCTGAACCCCTGACAAAAATTACAAAAGCCAACACTTCCAACTTCTTGTGGAAGAATATCATATGCCGGTTCGAGATTCCCTACTCGCTCGTCTCAGACTATGGTAGACAGTTTGACAACAAGAAGGTCAGAAGTTTGTGTGAAGAACTTGGCATCAAGAAGCACTTCTCCATGCCTCACCACCCACGAGCAAATGGCCAGGTTGAGGCTGTAAACAAGACAATCAAGTATGTCCTGAAAAGGAAGCTTAATGTGTCAAAAGGGGCCTGGGTGGATGAGCTGCCACAAGTTTTTTGGGCAATCCGAACCACTGCGAGGACCTCAACAGGGGAAACACCTTTCCTCATGGCATATAGGACTGAGGCTATGAGCCCCGTCGAGGTTGGACTTCCATCTCCATGACGTTTGCATTTCAGTGAGATAACAAACGATGAGCTTCGTAGGTGCAACCTTGACTTCATTGAGGAAAAGAGAGATGACGCCCAGCTAAAGCTCGGTACATATCAAAGAAAGATGACGAAGTACTTCAACTTAAAGGTAAAGAATAGGTCATTTCGAATAAGCGACCTGGTCCTTAGGAGAGTTTTCCTCTCCTCAAAGGAACCTGACACCGGTTCTCTAGGCCCGAACTGAGAAGGTCCATATAAAATCAGAGAGGAGATTCGACTCGGGATTTTCTGGATTGAAGACATGAATGGCAAGGCACAACCCCGTCCATGAAACATTGAGCACCTCCGAATCTATTATCAATGAATGTACTACCTCGTTGGACGATCTTTCCCAGCTTATGTAACATTTCCATGATTCACTAAAATTATCCATGATTGAATTCACGTGTCGCATTACGTCGTCACCTCAAAGGAGAGGCCAACGTCCCATCTCTGAGCTACCTCGTCTGAACTCTGAGGCGCATGTACTTGCCTCCCTTTGACGAGGCTGAACGCCACTGGGAAAAGCCTCAGCATGACTGAACCATCCACCATGTTGGAAAGCGTCGTCACCTCGGAAGAGAGGCCAGCGTCCCATCTCTGGGCCACCTCGTCTGAACACCGAGGCGCATGCACTTGCCTCCCTTTGGTGAGGCTGAACGCCACTGGGAGAAGTCTCAGCATGGCTAAACCATCCATCATGTTGGGAAGCATCATCACCTTGGAGGAGAGACCAGCGTCCCATCTCTAGGCTACCTCGTCTAAACTCCGAGGCGCATGCACTTGCCTCCCTTTGACAAAGTTGAACGCCACTGGGAGAAGCCTCAATATGACTGAACCATCCACCATGTTGGGAAGCGTCGTCACCTCGAAAGAGAGGCCAGCGTCCCATCTCTGGGCCACCTCGTCTGAACACCGAGGCGCATGCACTTGCCTTCCTTTGACGAGGCTGAACGCTACTAGGAGAAGCCTCATTATGGATGAACCATCCACCATGTTGGGAAGCATCGTCACCTCGGAGGAGAGGCCAGCGTCCCATCTCTGGGCCACCTCGTTGGAACTCCGAGGTACATGCACTTGCCTCTCTTTGGCGAGGCTGAACGCCACTGGGAGAAGCTTCAGTATGGCTGAACCATCCACCATGTTGGAAAGCGTCGTCACCTCGGAGGAGAGGCCAGCATCCCATCTTTGGGCCACCTCGTTTGAACTTCAAAGCGCATGCACTTGCCTCCCTTTGGCAAGGCCGAACGCCACTGGGAGAAGCCTGATTAGGCTGAACTATCCACCATGTTGGGAAGCGTCGTCACCTCAGAGGAGAGGCCAGTGTCTGATCTCTGGGCCACCTCGTTGGAACTCTGAGGCGCATGCACTTGCCTCTCTTTGGCGAGGTTGAATGCCACTGGGAGATGCCTCAGTATGGCTGAATTGTCCACCATGTTAGAAAGCATCGTCACCTCGAAGAAGAGGCCAGCGTCCCATCTCTGGGCCACCTCGTTGGAACTCCGAGGTGTATGCACTTGCCTCCCTTTGGTGAGATAGAACGCCACTGGGAGAAGTCTCAGCATGGCTGAACCATCCATTATATTGGGAAGCGTCTTCACCTCGGAGTAGAGGCCAGTGTCTCATCTCTGGGCCACCTCATTTGAACTCCTAGGTGCACGCACTTGCCTCAACAAGACAAACTTTTATACCTATTTATGCACAAGGTTCAACCACCACTAGCTTTAAGCAACTACTTTTCGAATCAGACAGCAATATTCCCAGTTCGGCTGAAACATAGTCCAATCAGGATCCATTTAGGTTACAGTTATTTAGCTTAAGTATAATTCATTTGCTTAAGTCCAATATTGGTCATGGCTCGTGAGGCTTGCGTACAATTTACTTGCTCAAGTGATTGGAGTTAGGATACCAAGTTAAAGTTATTTAGTTTTTCAACCAACATTAAGTTCAATTGCTTAACGAGGCCAATGCACTTAGGACAAAAACAACATTGAATGAAAGAAGATATTATATTGCTTTTCAATCAAGATTACAAAAGGGGGGCCTGAGGCTAGTACATCAGAAATAACTGAAAAGAAGACTATCCTAAGCCTGGGACGATGATGGAAGCGCCCCAGCAGTCGGGGCCTTCGCAGCCTGAGCATCAGAACTTCCTTCTTCTGTCTCTGCTACTTTATCCCCAACCGCTTCATCAGCTGGGGTTTGAGGCACTTCATCCACAAACTCCGACCTCAGCTATGACATGTCTTGATTTGGGTAAAGTTCCTTAGCCCTTTCCATCATCTCGGCGTAAGCATAATTTCTCCAGTAGGTGCTGAAACTCTTATACTCCTCAGTATTGTGGAAGTTGGCAATGTAGTCTTTCATCGCCTCCTCTCTCGTCACTTTGGCCTCCTCCTTTGCCTTGGCCGCTTCATCAACATACCACTTTATCTAGCCCTCCAAGAACTTGTACGCATCTTGGGCCCTAGCTAGCTCCAAGTTTGTCTTCTCTAAGGCTTCGGCAGTCACATTCTGGTGGTCATTGGAAACCTCCACTTTCTTAGTCAAGGAGGCCACCTTGCACTGGGACTCATACACCTCCTTCTTCAACGCCTCGATCGGAGTCAAGGCAAACTCCAGTTTGGCCGCATCTTTAAAATTTTTGGGCCTTCGCTTCCTCTGTCTCAACTCTAGCTCCCTTCAGCTCCTCTGCAAGGGAGGCCATCTTCTTCTCCGAGGACTGGGTCTTTGTTTGAAAGTCAGTAAGGGCCTTCCTGCACTCCAGTGCAAGGCCAAAAGTCCTCACACTTTGGCTCACGAGGGCCCTTGTTAAGTCCGTGACGTCACATGAGGAGGCATGCAACTGCCACCGATCCGTCCAA